TATAGTGATTATTTTGTTTCTGGATAAAGGAAAATGGCTGATATCTTAAATGTCCCTGCTATTTGACACGTGGTGGTGTCCTGTGTAGGGAAATGGGGGAGCGGGGAGATTATAACCTTCTAAGACTATAAGGATGACGGCCTTAGGCTCGGCACCTGTGGCTCAAGTGGCTGTAGTGCCAGCCACATACACCTGAGCTGGCGGGTTCGAATCCAGCCCGGGCCCGATAAACAACAATGACAGCTGTAATCAAAAAATAGCGGGGTGTTGTGGCAGGTGCCTGTAGTCCCAGCTACTTGGGGGGCGGAGGCAGGAGAATCACTTGAGCCCAGGAGTTGGAGATTGCTGTGAGCTGTGATGCCACAGCACTTTACCCAGGGTGACAGCTAAAAGCTCTGTCTCAAGGTAAAAATGGATGACAGCTTTAAAGACGACTTTAGAGAAATTAAAGGGCAGGCCCTAGGTTTCCTTTCCCTTCAAAATGTACTAGAATTCTTAGGGAAATGGCAAAGTAAGGGGGATGGTGGAAAGAGGAGGACAGCATAGGCTGTAAGATTGGTCGGAGCACTATTCTTTAGCCCGTTAGTACTAGGAAGGAAGTGAGACAATAGCATTTAAATGACAAGTCATCGTTTTTTGGTTATCTTTGCTGAACAGGAATCTACAACAATGTATATGATTTTAGTTCACCCAAGGTGAATTTTGTAAATGACCTTTAGATCTGCATTTACATAGCAGAGACTACTTAGTGTGGTATTGGGTGAGGCCCGGTGGAGAAGTAATAGAATTCCCCTGTGTGTAGTTGCCCTCTGTTTGTTGTTGATCTTGTTTTTTAGTGTGGGAGGCGTAGTGAGCCTTCCTGGCTAATGGAAGTATGGATGTTGTCCACACAGGAAGTCCTCCCAAGTGCTGAAGAGGGCTGCTCCTGCTGGTGCCTCACCACTCAGGGAGTGCAGAGGGTCTGCTAACACAACCACCCCTTTTCTTCATGACTGTTTTCTGTCAATTTTAGCAGGCAAATGAAGCCTAGATAAATGTTATCAAGAAAACTGAATTAGCTTATTTCCCCACTCCTTGGAGACATAAAATGTAGCTTGTTTAAGCTAACCGGAAACGATGTAATTGGGCTAGAGAAGGCTGAGGTAGACCAGGTAGGCTCTTGGGTGGGTGGGCACTTGGCTGTGGTTCTGTAGCTTCCAGGTTCCCTAAGTAGACTGAATGTGTTTACGCTTCATCGTAGAGAGTCTTGTAAAGTTCCAAGGGAGTTTAGGGGCTTTGAGAGGTAAAATGTAAAAAGGCAGCCAGTGATAAAAGTGGAACTTGGTAAGATATCTTGATCCCTTTGTAAACTTTTTGAAACATATTTTTTTAAAGTTTACCATTTGTGCTCCTAAGGTACAATGTAGTCTAACTACAAAGTGTAATTGCTTTAAATTTATCGGAGTTCTGAAGTTGTAGTTTTAAGACTTTTCACTGTTTGCATTTCGATTTAGGAGAGAGGGTTTAATTGTTCACTGTTCTAAGTTGTACCTTCCTAAGCTGCCCACTCTAATGTTTAGCCCGAATAAATTGTAGTTCTCAAAAGTTGCTTGCAGAATTTATTATTTATTAAAAACATTTATAATGTAGAATTTTAAAATCAATTTTTCTTTTTAAAACTAACCTTTTTTTCTCTTCTTACTACCTACAGTTCACAGATAACTAATCTTGTTATTATTTTTTTTTTAATAAAGAGCTAATCTGGCTATGTATTAAAGACACCTTTTAGTTTCTTAAAAAAAAAAAAAAAAAACAGAGCCGCCAATGGTATTAAGCATCACATTTCAGAGAAGCTTGAATTTGATAGTTAGGCAGCAAGAAGGATGGGCACCAAAAAATGAAAGGAGACAGAGGGTATTCAGGATAAGGAAGCTATTTGGGGCACCATTTGGAGTACCATTTGAAGGTTTTGGCTTTATTGGTACGGCTTCTGCCGTACCACTTCCCAAAGGTGTGACTTTCATACATTATTCAACCTCTCTTGAGATTCCTTTCCTAATCTTCACAATGGGAGAATAATGTACCTGCTTTATGGGATTTAGTAATGTATATAAAGCATTTAGCAAACGTAAACATGTAATATATGATAGCAGTTATTACTAATGTTATTAGAATCTTTGTCAACCCACGTTGAATGTTTAAGAATAAACAGCTTTCTTGCATTTGAGTTTTCATTTCAGAGCATGTGTCTTGTTTTTATCAGGACTTAACTTTAGTTTCAGTGGTTCTAAAGACTTAATCTTTGATCTAAAATTTTCTGCTTCAGAAAATAAAAAAATCAGCAGCCTAGAATAATTTGGTGCTTCTCTCTTTCGGGTATCTTTCTCTGTCTTCAGCTAGATCCAAGAAAGTTTATTTTTGGATAAAATTTGAGTTTGAACTTTGTTCTCTATAGGATTCACCAGAGGCTAGTAGTGCCGCTCAGGTACATTCAGGAACCCCTTCTGCCTGGGATCAGCACACTGAGAGAGAGTTCATTCCCTCGCAGGGCAGGCTGGAGGGGTGGCAGGGATACCCAGGCTGTTTGTGCTCCCCATAGTGGGAAAATGCTACAGTAATAAATACAGATGCCTGTCAAACAGAGAGTAAACCGGCTACATGAATTCGGAAATGTAAATCACAGTTCTACTTCTTATGGCAAAAATAAACACATAAATTAAAAGCTACTACTTTCGTGTCTAAGTAATCTCCAGATAAACCATACTCCCAATGTTTCTTTTAATCTTACAAATTCATGCCCGCCCGCCCTTTTCTACCACAGACCAAGCAGAGGGCAGAGTGGATGCAGGCTTGGAAGGCAGTCCTTAGAGTCTCTGATGGTTCATTTGCTTCATGTTGATGTGATCCCACTAAAAAGCGGGAAGGACCTGATCCTGCTTTCTGATTTGCCCAAATCTGATGCCAGGTGACCACGTTTTATTCCCCAGCAGCTGCCCTGAACTTACTGGGTCCTGCTGTGAATCAGTAACAGCGTGGCTTTTGTCAGGAATAGTTTCTCAGATATTAATCAAAGAATTAGAACAGGTTCTCTGTGTCCAAGTCTTAGGACAGGAAAGCGGATGGGTGCGCTACTTCCTGGCTCCTTGTTGTCACTGAGGAAAAAAGCAGGTAGCAGTGGAGTGACTTCAGGAGGGAACACAGGGCCTTCTGCCTCCTGGGTGCAGCCTGAGGCAGAGCGTAGTTTTATATCTAGAAAGTAAACTTTTTAGCATGTAGAAAAAACCAGCCATGTGGGGAAAGGATGAGTTTAACTCATTATTTTGATAGGATGTGGTCTCAGGCAGGTTTTGGGTTAAGCAGTACTGATGTTCCCAGTCCAAGTTCAGCCTTCAGAATAAGTAGCTTTTTAACAATCCTAGCACTATGGGAGGCTGAGGTGGGTGATTGCTTGAGCTCAAGAGTTCAAGAACAGCCTGAGCAAGAGCAAGACTCT